GTTTTAGGCAGAAGTTATCAAAAGAAGTAATATTCTACACAACATTTCACTATAAATCTCAAAAAAAAAAAAAACATATCTGAGTATAATAGTTTTTAAGAAAATTACATTCGAAATTTATGTGCTACAAGTGAAAATCGATTTTTAATAATTACAATGAAAAGCCAGCCGATAAAGCCAGCTAAGACAAGAAAACACGTGTATCGGCATTTTGAAAGCTAACATCGCAAAGTAACCTGAATAGGGGTAATGTCCCTCCCTCGTCAACATTTTTTTGAAATTTTTAAATCGTGATTCCTTGGAATCCTTACGTTTCAGGTGAGAGAGTCACCAAAGGGGCCTTTTTGGTACTTTTTTTTAAATATTGGTATAAACTCCCTTAAAACAACATCGTAGGAAGTCAAAATATTCTATAACATTATTTGTCATAAAATTCTACCATAGGTCCTAGAAGACATCGAAAGTCTAAATCTTACCTAAACGCCAAGAATTAATAATTTATTAAAAACACATTTTAGGATTAAAGCCTTACTCTCTGTGAGTTTATGCAGAAATCTCCTTCAAAGCTAAATTTTAGAAGGACGATGTCAAAGACAAAAATATTCTTCATCAAATTTCACTATAAGTCGCCAAAGAAAAGAAATCTATAGTTCCTCTAAAAATCCAAAAAATATTCGTATCAATGTTCCCAAAAAAAAAATTCAAAAACTTTTCAAATTTTTATACCCTCCACCATAGTATAGAGGGTATATTAAGTTTTTGTAACACCTCGAAATAATCATTTTACACCCCATAAAGTATATATGGCTTGATCAGCATAAAATTCTATGTCTATTTATCAATGTCCGTCCGTCTGTCCGTCTATAAAAATCACTCTAGCTTTCAAACGAAATGAAGTAGGTTGATAAAATTTTACTTAATTGTGTATTATGTCTGCAGGACTTTTGGTATTGAAAATGGGCCATGTAGGTCCACGTTTTTTGTGTAGCACCCATATAACGGTTCCTCCCGATATTCGGTATTTTGATGATTTTAGCGATATTATTTACCGGAATTGTTTCAAATTTCGTATTTAAAGTTCGTAATGGATACTATAGCCTATGACAGAAAATTGTCTGTGCAGGTCCACGTCTTCGTGTAGCCCCCATATAACTGTACCCCCCGATCTTCGGTATTTTGATGATTTTAACAACATTATTTACCGGAATTGTTTCAAATTTGGCACTTGAAGTTCGTAAAGGATACTACAGCCTCTGGCCATGAGCCATGTAGGTCCACGTCTTCGTATAGCCCCTATATAACGGTACCCCCGATATTCGGTATTTGGATGATTTTAGCGACATAATTTACCTGAATTATTTCAAATTTGGTTTTTGAAGTTCGTAATGGATACTACAGCCTATGTCAGAAAATTGTCTGTGCAGGTCCACGTATTGTACCTCCCTATATTCGTTATTTTATTTATTTTAGCTACATTATAAACAGTTTTTTTTCAAGTTAAGCATTTGAATATCATAATAGCTTATGACAAAAGTCTGCGTCGTCGTATAGACCCTAAAATACGGCTACATTCGGTATTTTTAAGATTTTAACAGAATTTTTAATGGATTTACTTTTTTTGAAAATTGCCATATTTGTACCAAATGGTGGAGGGTATTCAAAGTTCGGCCCGTCCGAACTTATAACTTTTTTGCTTGTTTTATTTTTACCTCTTCTTTTATAATCTGCTGGATTTTCTTTGTAATTTATGTTTGTGTCACGCAGTGTAATTTACGAAATTTGAAAAAAAAAACTAATTCAGAAAGTTTCAGTCGATTAGCTGAAAGACATATACCTTCATCATAGTTCGACCTTAGTTTGCACAGGAGTTTATTCAGATTATATGTAATTTGTGATTTTTAAAAATTTTTACCACTTTCCGGTCAATTTACCAGAAAGAATGGAAAAATATATTCCATCTTTACACCAGATATAATTTAAAAAGAAATATTGAGATACGCCATGTTTAAAAAAAATCAGAAACAATTTTACATTTTATTTGTTTAATCCGAGAACAATGATATATTTACCATATTATATAATGTCTAAAGTCTAGTAAGAAAAAATAAACTTAAAATTGATGTGATGCAGGTCTTTGCTGTGGTGAAGTAAGGTGAATTACCACTCAAATGGTTAGTGTCTTCGCTTCATTATGCCCTCTGTATGTGACGTTTGGACAATTTGCTTTAGCAAAGGCACCATTTCGAATCTATGCATTACATTTCACCACTTTACCGGTTAAGATGAAATAAATATAAAACGGTGTAATTGTAGAATCGGAAGAACATATTAACTGGTGAAAATAAATTACGGACGTTGAAAATGCCTTGTTGGTGATGTGGGTAAATGGGCAATACAATTTTCCCATGACTTCAAATTAAACATTTGCAAGTTATGGGGGCTTCTGGAGTTAGAAAACTTTAAAAATAATGCTTCCAAAGAACACAAAAAATTCCATATTTACTACAAACTAAAACAAGTTAAAAAGCAGCAAAGTACGGCTGGGAAGAACTAATAATACCCTGCTTCATTTGTAGGAAACTTGAAAAACGTAAAGAATTCAGTTGAAACTGGCGGTACCTATTACGAACTCCAAAAATGTAGCTTAATAAAATTACTTGCCCTAGTCCATATAACTCTACAAACTCTCCGGGCCGAACCTTGAATACCCTTCACCATTTGGTACAAATTTAATAATTTTCAAAAAAAAAGGAAAATCCGTTAAAAAATTCTGTTAAAATCTTAAAAATACCGAATGTAGCCGTATATTAGCGTCTATACGACAACGTGCACCTGCATAGGCAACTTTTGTCACACGCTATTAGAATATTTAAATGCGAAACTTGAAAAAAATCTGTTTATAATTTAGCTAAAATCATCAAAATACCAAATATATAGGGAGTTGCCATGGGGGTTATAAAACGTGGACCTGCACAAACAAATTTTCTGTCATAGGCTGTAGCATCCATTACGAACATCAAATACCAAATTTGAAACAATTCGGGCGAATAATGTCACTAAAATTATCAAAATACCGAATATCGGAAGGTACCGTTATATGGGAGCTATACGAAAACGTGAACCTGCACAGACAATTTTCTCTCAGAGGCTGTTATATCCATTACGAACTTCAAATACCAAATATGAAACAATTCCGACGAATAATGTCGCTAAAATCATCAAAATACCGAATATCGGAAGGTACCGTTATATGGGGGCTATACGAAGACATGGGCCTGCACAGACAGTTTTTTGTCATAGGTTGTAGCAGCCATTGCCAACATCAAATACCAAATTTGGAACAATTCCGACGAATAATGTCGCTAAAATCAACAAAGTACCGAATATCGGGAGGTAGCGTTATATGGGGGCTATACGAAGACGTGGACATGCACAGACAATTTTCTGTCATAGGCTGTAGTATCCACTACGAACTTCAAATACCAAATTTGGAACAATTCCGGTGAATAATGTCGCTAAAATCGTTAAAATACCGAATATCGGGAGGTACCGTTATATGGGGGCTATACGAAGACGTGGGCCTGCACAGACAGTTTTTTGTCATAGGTTGTAGCAGCCATTGCCAACATCAAATACCAAATTTGGAACAATTCCGACGAATAATGTCGCTAAAATCAACAAAGTACCGAATATCGGGAGGTAGCGTTATATGGGGGCTATACGAAGACGTGGACCTGCACAGACAATTTTCTGTTTCAGACTGTAGAATTCATTACGAACTCCAAATACCAAATTTGAAAGAATTCCGGCGAATAATGTAGCTAAAATCAACAAAATACCGAATATCGGAAGGTTCCGTTGCATGGGGGCTATATGAAGTCGTGGACCTTCACAAACAATTTTCCCTCATAGGCTGTAGTATCCATTACTAACATCAAATGCTAAATTTGAAACAATTCCGCTGAATAATGTCGCTAAAATTAACAAAATACCGAATATCAGAAGGTACCGTTATATAAGGGCTATACCAAAACGTAGACCTACATGGCCCATTTTCAATACCAAAAGTCCTACAGACATAATATACATTTGAGTAAAATTTTATCAATCTACTTGAATTCGTTCGGAAGCTAGAGTGATTTCCACAGACGGGCAGACGGACGGACATTGCTAAATTGACATAGAATTTAATTCTGATCAAGAATATATTTACTTTGTAGGGTCTTAAATGTATATTTCGAGGTGTCACAAACGGAATGACAAACTTAATATACCCTCCATACTATGGTGGAGGGTATAAAAAAGCCTAACACGAACTGTTGGAACGAATCTGAACTTATAAGGTGGATTTTTCGAAGTTGCGGGCACTTGCTAGTCTTTATATAATGATCTACAATATTGAGAAAAGTTCAACCCCTTCAACCATGAAAAATTCAGAATGTTCTCTGATCCTCTATAACCTCCCAGAGACTAGTTTATTATTCTCCAAACTGTTGTTTGATCGCTTATTGCATACCAACTGTATGAATACCTCTTAGCAACTTACAATTTATATCTAACTTCTTTGTTGTAATTCATACCGCGGGGGATTTACCTACCTACCTGACAGACAGAAGGCAGTGACATGTTAATTAGAGAGGAAGAACACGGAGAGAGCTAAATTCTAAAATAAAATCACACAAAACCGCAAAAACGTTATTTGCTTAATCTAATTGACCAAACGCCAAGTGAAGAGTTGGGCTTGGACTTTTAGTGGCAACATGTGGCCAGCGGAATCAAACCAGTCTTTTTGTAGCGATACAATAACACATTAGCGGCTGGCCAACACAGCAACGTGAATGGCGATCAAACTCAGAGAAATGTGATGAGTAATATGAGATTAACATGAAATCCAGAAAGAGGTTCACACACACACACACTCACACTCTCTCATGATGATAATGATGGTCCCATATAAAACGCATGCTAATCGCAACTTTTACTTTAGTCAATATTTGGTTATTACACGACAAACATCCTAAAAAGGAATATTCTTGAAATAAAATGCGGAAATTTTCAATAGCGTTGAGCGGTATTTTACTATTATTTTATATTACTCCCAGTCTGAGTAGAGCTTCGAATGATTCGCAGCCATCGTCCAATTGTCCACGCATCAAACTCAAACGTCAATGGGGTGGCAAACCAAGTTCGATCATCAATTATCGTCCCGTCCCGGTGAAATATGTCATTATCCATCACACGGTCACAAAGGAATGTTTCAAATTCTTGGAATGTGCGGAAATTTTACAAAATATGCAACATCATCATTTGAACACATTGGATTTCGATGATATCGGTTACAAGTGAGTAGTGAGTGGGAGTGGAAGGAAAATTTGGAAAAGTGAATGTGTGTGTGTGATGAGAACTAAAAAATATCTGTTTACCATTGCAATATAAAAAAAAGTAAAAACAGCCGTAAGTTCGGCCGTGCCAAACTTTGAATACCCTCCACCATTTGGAACTAATTTGGAAATTTTCAAAAAATAAAATCCTTAAAAAATTCTGTTTAAATTTCAAAAATACCGAATATAGCCGTTTTATTGGGGTCTATACGACGTGGACCTACATAGGCCTTGTTTGTCATAAGCCATTACCATATTCAAATTCGAAAACTTGAAATAAACGGTGAATAATGTAGCTAAAATCATCAAAATATCGTATATAGGGAGGTACCGTTATATCGGAGCTGTGCGTTGACCTGGACCTGCATAGACAATTTTCTGTCACAGGCTGTAGCATCCATTACGAAGTTAAAATACGACATCCCAAACAATTTCGGTGGGTATTGTACCTAAACTCGTCAACATAGCGAATATAGGGAGGTACTGATATATGGGGCCTATACGAAGACCTGGCCCTGCATAGACAATTTTCTGTCACAGACTGTAGTTCCCATTACGAACTTCAAATACCAAACTTGAAACAATTCCGGTGAATAATGTCGCTAAAATCATCAAAATACCGAATATCGGGGGGTACTGTTATATGGGGACTATACGAAAAGGTGAACCTGCTCAGACAATTTTCTGTCTTTTCTATTCATTTCAAACTTCAAACACCAAATTAGAAAAAATTCCGATGAATAATGTCTCTAAAATCAACAAAGAACCGAATATCCAGAGGTACCGTTATATGGGGGCTACACGAAGACGTGGACCTGCACAGACAATTTTCTGTCTTTGGCTGTAGCATTCATTTCAAACTTCAAATACCAAATTTGAAACAATTCCGATGAATAATGTCGCTAAAATCATCAAAATACCGAATATCGGGAGGTACCGTTATATGGGGGCTATAACAAAACGTGGACCTACATGATCCATTTTCAATACCAAAAGTCCTGCAGACATAATATACATTTGAGTAAAATTTTATCAATCTCCTTGAATTCGTTCGGAAGCTAGAGTGATTTCCACAGACGGATAGACGGACGGACAACGCTAAATCGACATAGAATTTTATGCTGATCAAAAATATATATACTTTGTGGGGTCTAAAAGGTATATTTCGAAGTGTTACAAACTGAATGACAAACTTGATATACCCTCCATACTACGGTGGAGGGTATAAAATATACAAGTTCCCCTCCTCTATCACATTTTACGACATTTTCGGATTGCGTTTCCTTGGAATCCCTACTATTTAAGTATGCAGGGTGAGATAAGAATGAAAGAAACGCCATAATTTTTAATTTTTTTTTGTAACTTTTTTAAATAAAACCAGATAATGTCGGAAAAAGCATAAAATTTTAGAATAGGTTTAGATTTGTTCGAATTGGTCACCTTTGGCACTAATTATGGCCTTCAAACGTCCAATAAAACCGTCACACGCTGCCCAAATGTTGCTCTGCGGTATGTTGGTCCATTCCCGGCGAAGCGCTTGTTTGATGTGATCGACGCTTTGGTATTTTTTAGTGCCAACCTTGCTTTCCCAAATACTCCAGACACAATAGTCCAACGGATTGATATCCGGAGATTTTGGTGGCCATTGTGTGCTGGAAATGAGGCGAGGAACCTCATTTTGTAACCATTCTTGGGTGGTCGTGCAGAGTGCGATGGTGCGGAGTCCTGTTGGAATGTCCAAGATCTGCGGCCAAAATGTTTGCTTGTCCAAGGCTTTAATACATCCTCCAGAATATTTTCGCCATAATATTCGGCATTTATTCTGATGCCACGGTCGATTAATACGAGCGGAGAGCGACCACCGGCTGTTATGGTGGCCCACACCATCACCAAGGCCAACCGAAGGTGCATATTTTCAGCTGACCTCTTTGGCAAGTAAACACGATTATTTTGTTTGTTTACAAACTGCTGGACAACGAATGCTTTCTCATCGGAGAGAGAGAAAACCAAATTCGAGAGAAAACCAAATTGGCCAAGCGAAGCAACTCCTTAGCTCTTTTCAGTTTTTTTTTTCTTTCTGTTGCGCTGTAAGTTCTTGCACTTTTTGGAAATTCAATAGCTAATGGCTTTACCCCGAGCTCATTTTTCAATATTTGCCAAATGGAATATTGCGATATGTTCAGTTCACGAGGCATTTTTCGGCCAGTGCGGTAATGAACGATGGTACGAGACACAAAAGTTTTATTCGCATTTAAATGCTGGGGTGCTCCAACGATAGCCACTCGGGGTTTTCCAGGCAAATATAAAGAAATCAAACTATCACACTTACGAATAACTTTTTTTCTGGAAAATTCTCACCAAAATGCTTTTTTAAGCTTGTAAACAATATAATGAGCTCTCACTGGAATAATGTTAACAGCTGTCGTGGCTTAGAAATGACAGCAGTCTAAAGTTGGTTGCCGTTTTTTCATCTGCAACCTGTATACACTCTGTAGTCATATGGCTGAGGGTATAAAAACATAACATGCATGAAATCTTTATTCGAATAAATGCTTCAATGTAATCTTCCATTTTCTGAATTCTTGACATGGTGCTGCTAAAGTTGCGATTTCGTATTTCATATATTCATATTATATTACAATATTTAATCCACAGCTTCCTTATCGGCAACGATGGTGTAATTTATGAAGGCACTGGTTGGTATGTTAGAGGTGCTCACACCTATGGTTACAATCAAAATGGCACCGGCATTGCATTCATTGGCAATTTTATGGGTAAGCAAAATTTGACAAAAATTAAAAGTTATATACAAAATTAATTTATATTTTCATAACTCTTAAATCTTTTCAGAAAAACTACCCAATCGCAAAGCACTGAAGGCAGCCAAGGAACTTCTGGCATGCGGTGTCGCCACAGGTGCTTTGGATCCCAACTATGACCTTTTGGCAGCAACACAAGTTTCATCCACCAAAAGTCCAGGTCTGACGTTATACAATGAAATACAAGAATGGCCTCATTGGTCACCGAATGCGTCGAATAAAAAATGATAAATTTGCAACGAAAATTTCCCCCAAAAAGACTGGGAATAGTTAAATAGGTTTAAAGTTTGATATATAATATTATACTCTTAGCTGTAAATAAAAATTATTTATGTAAAACATATTATAGGAAAAAAATAATTTCTGGAGATGTATTTTTTTAAATGCCATAGGACAAAGAACAATATTGTTATTGATTATAAAGGAAATAAGGTGATATTTTACGAGTTATAAGGAGTTTTTTGGAAGTATAAACATACTGGAATTATAATGACGGATGCTGATATTTGGGGGTGCATTGTCCAGTATTAGGGTTATATAAAAGGCCACATGGTAAAAAATTGAGCAGAGAAACTGAAACCGTTTTAAGGTTTTTTTTTCTAATGTTCTTAATACTTAAAATTTGGTACCCTTGAAATATGTTGATTAACAACTTCCCCTTGGGATGACAGTTGCTTTTACTGAACATACCCCACATAAACACTGTTCCCTGTTGTTATTCCCACTTTGTTGCTCTCTTTCTCTTGTTATACTAATTGCAGTAGAAAATACCATAGACAGTAGCATAAACATGATTAGAGCAAAAATAGCAACAATCACTCAATAGAGAGAAAGAGAGAGAGGTGAAGTTTAAAAGAAATAGAATTTGGGAGTGCAAACCAGTATTGTAATTAGAAGAAGCATCAGTGCAGGAAAAAAGGTAGTGTTTGCATAGAAGAGCTTAATTGTGAATTTGTCAGTTTATACGAAAAATTTTCGACTGGTAAGGCTCTTTCTAATCCGAAGAGGCCATATAAAAGTCGACCAAGGCGATCGGCCGAGAATATCGCTGCCGTACGAGCCAGTGTTGAGAGCTCCCCAAGAACATCCCAAAAACGCCGTTCTCAGCAGTTGGGCATGGCTCTGTCCACTTTACAACGGATTATTCGCATTGATTTGCATTTGTTCCCGTACATAATTCAATTGACGCAAAGAATGTTGCCTGCGGACAAGCCTCGTCGATTGGAATGGGCCCAAAGGGCGCAAAGGTCCGTCGAATATGGGCAACCCTGTATATACATGGATAAACCTATCTCAGAAATTGAATGTTTCTCTGAATACCAAAATATCGATTATTATTTGAAAAACCACTTTTTTAAATCGCATTTTGTGGCTTTCATGAAATTCTCTGGAAAAACAAATAATAATATTTACAAAAAAAAAAAAAAACTAAATAAATAAAACAAAATTCTTTCATTGAAATCCAGACCAACCTCCTCATACAATAATTCCAATTCATACTACCGGATTGTGATTAATAGTCTCCCGTTTCTCGCTTAAGATCGCTCAATGATTTTGCAATAATTTCCTCCAACTATAAATACGGCACTCATCCCGAATTTCAATTCAGTTAAGTTAGTTAAAAGCATAACCAAGATGCTACCTCCACCTCGGCAGATAGTTCTCTTGTTCGGTTCATTCTATTTGATAGCCATCATAGCCAGCGATTGCGAATGTGAGCCGATAGTGCATTGCATACCAGATTGTCCCGAAATCAAATGGCGTCATCAGTGGGGCAGTAAAACCAGTGACAATGTTGTCTATCGTCCCATACCGGTGAAACGTGTTGTGGTGCATCACTCGGTGACACCGGAATGTTCAAGTTTTGATCAGTGCTCGAGAATCGTTCAAAATATGCAATCGTTTCATGTGAATCAAAAGAAATACAGAGACATTGCCTACAAGTAAGTAACCGATACATTAATATGCCACTCGATTATTAGCTTACCCCGCGGTCATTCAGTTTTTATACCCTCAGCCATATGGCTAGAGAGGGTACATATCATTTGATACGGCCAAAACGGGCCTGATCGAAATAACGGTTTTAGACCCTAGGTCTCTTTGGACCATATCTGTTTCAAGACATTTGGAGTCGATCTAGCGATGTCCGTCCGTCCGTCTGTCTGGCAGATGCGCACGATAACCCCCGAAGGGAGTATCCCATTTGGTCCAAGCATGGTACATCGTAATATTTTTATCAAACTTAAATCGAATTTAGAAATGGAAAATATCGGTCCACTTCTTTTGGTAGATCCCCATTTAAGGTCAAAATTTTCAAAAAATATATATATTGTACTGCAAAGAAAGAAAAAGGATAATCCGATTTTGCTCTAACTTTGCAAATTCTAATATTTGCATCAGTGCTAGGTCAGGTGCGAAAATGGACAATAACGGTTCACTCCCTCGAGTACCTCCCCCACAGAGGGTCAACATTTTGAATAATTATAACTCCTATAAATGCGATGGAAAAGTCCGACTGTCTTCAAATTCCCCACATCACAATTTTTTTATTAACCCAAGAATTGGTGTGAAGATGGAACATATCGGTCCACTCCTTCTGGCACCTCTGCCACAACAGGCCAAAGTTTTAAACAACCAAACTGATCATAAAATCCGAAATAAGCATTAAAAACTCTATATATTTCACACATCCCATTATTTCTACTGACATAAGATCTGCTGTGAAGATGAGATATATCGGTCCACTCCATCCACCTCCCCACCTCCCCCCACAAAAGGTCAAAATTTTGAATATCCGTAAAGCTCATAATACGCGAATAATATCTGATTCCATTAAGACTTGACAAATCTCAATATTTCCATCAACAAAAATCTACTATAAGGATAGTAGAGATCGGATCATTCCTTCTGGTACCTCTCCCACAAAAGGGTCAAAGTTTAGAATAACCAAAACGATTATAAAATCCGAAATAAGCATCCGGTTCTCTTCATTTTACACACATCACAATATTTTTATTAACCCAAGATCTGGGGTAAAGATGGGATATATCGGTCCACTCCTTCCGGTATATTTGTGATCACTTTTTAAGGCATGAATTATTGAAAACTTTAAAACGTGCATAACTCCTTAAATATTGAGTTTACGGCGATTTTTCGGCAAATAAAGGGACGAAATTAACATCCGAATTCATTCAGATTGGGTACATCTTAATATTTCCATCAACAAAAAATCTGTTATAAAGATGGTAGAGTTCGGACCATTTCTTCTGATACCTCCTCCACATATGGTTCAAGATTTTGAGAAAAAAAACTCTCAAAAAAGCAAATATTTTAGCTAATATAAGATCTATTCTGAAGATAATATATCTGCGAACTCCTTCTGGTACCTCACCCACAAAGGGTCACCTTTTTCAATACTACTACCAGAAGAAATGGTCCCACCATCTCTACCTTCTGAATGAAATCTGATGTTAATTTCACGTTTTCTGAGCTTTATGAATATTCAAAATTTTGAACCCTTTGTGTGGGAGGAACCACAAGGAGTGGACCGATATATTCCATCTTCAAACCAGATCTTGTGTTAACAAAAATATTGAGATGTGTGAAATTTGAAGGCAATCGAATACTTATTTTATCTTTTATAAGAGTCTTAATTATTTAAAATTTTGACCTTTTGTGGGGGAGGTACTTGATGGAATGTGCCGATATCGTTCATTTTCGCACCCAACCTAGCACTAGTACAAATATTTTGATCGACAAAATTTCAACAATATTTAATGATCTATTCTTGTTCTATAATGTTTATTATTTTCTACGAAAATTTTGACCCTTTGTGGGGGAGGTATCAGAAGTAGTGGACCGATATTGCCCATCTCCGCAATCGAACTAAGTTTGATTATAATATTTCGATGTACCAAGTTTGGATCAAATCGGATATTCCCTTCCGGAGTTATCGTGTGCATCAGCCATCAGGTTGTCGGTCTGGACGGACACCCTTGGTTCGACTACAAATGTCCAAAAACGGATTTTGTCCAAAAAGACCCAGGGTTAAAACCCATTTTTTCGAAGAGGCACGTTTTAGACGTATCGAATTGACCCTCTTTAGCCATATGGCTGAGGATATAAAACTTCAGTGAAAAGTATGACAAAATCAGAAAAATACCGAATACTTGGATTTACAGTTATATGTGGAATACACCAAAACATGGACTTGTGTAGACCATTCCCTGCAAGGATCTTTCCTACGTATGGGGAACACAAACTACCAATTTACGGCAAATTTGGGTCAACATTTTTATTAAAACAACATATTGAGGCCGAAGGATGGTCATCGCTGAATCGACATAGACTTTTATCCTGCTCAGAAATATATTGACTCCGCCAATTTTTTTTCTGTTTCTTTTTTTTGAAAATCGCGTGTAGTTACGGCTGTGTGGAATGTAGCGCTGTCCTGTTCAAATGTTACGAATATGTCACTCTTCAATTTTTGTGAACAAATAAGTTGTGTTCCAGTACTTTTTTAGTAGTAAAACTAGCTGAAGAGAGAACAGTTCGAAATGTCATTCTCAATTAGGTGTGATCAAAAAATAAGGGAACGGAGAATTAGCAGAAATGCGATAAAATGTCAAATTCAAAATTCCAAGAGTAAACAGTCCAAATCGGACTGGTGAAACCTTACTGAAACGGACGCCAAAATTTAAAAAAATTAGTATTGAAGACGATACGTTAAATTAATAATCTATAATAATAATTAATAATCTGATTCATCATTCAGCCAGTCCTTTTCACTACTGGAATCATCCAAAAGTGCTCCATATTTTCCCTTTTTTTTTTTGCACTACAAATATTAGTTTTTCCTCTAGTTTTTAAGTTGATCATTTCTTTATTTTTGTTATGACGCGGGAACATTGAAATGTATCAATACATTTTTCAACCTTGTTAGCCCTGCCAATTGAATGTCAAATTCACAATTTGCGCATTTCTGCTCGGCTAAATTCATGTAGCTAAAACAAGCCGAAATGTGCACCACTCAGCGCCATTTTTTTCTCGAGAGAGCTGCAAGTTTTGCTAGTTTTTGCAGTACGGGAACGCGTTGTAGCAGAATTAGTACTAATTTGTAGGTTCTGGAACACAACTATACTCAGCCAACATGGCTTGAAAACGTAGTGGCCAATCCATTCTCTTTTTCTTTAACCAATTATGCCTCTGAACCGAACAAATCCGCACCAAACATTGACTCACGGTCATATGCGTTTCAAAGCAGGCGCGAGGGGAGTCAGTGCCTTAAATGCAACAACTTCGCTTTTTATACCCTCCACCATACATAATATGGAGGGTATATTAAGTCCGTCATTCCGTTTGTAACTCATCGAAATAATCATTTTAGACCCAACAAAGTGTATATATTCTTGATCAGCGTAAAATTCTAAGTCGATTTAGCCATGTCCGTCCGTCTGTCCGCCTATCCGTCTGTTTTAATTATGCTACAGTCTAAACGAATTAAGATAGGAAGCTAAAATTTTGCACAGATCCCTCTTTTGTCTGCAGGCAGGTCAAGTTCGAAGATGGGCTATATCGGTCCACGATATCGTATAGCCCCCATATAACGGTACCCCCCCCCCCCCCATATACGGTATTTTGATGATTTTAGCCACATTTTCTAATGGAATGGTCTGAAAATCGACACAAGAAGTTCCTTGTGAGTACCATATCCCTTGAAAGAGAATTATCTATATAGGTCCACGATATCGTTTCAGTGGAATTGTCTTAAATTGTACACAAGAGGTTCTTTGTGAGCAGTTTACCCCCTGACAGAGAATTCTCTATATAGGTTAACGATATCGCATATCCACCATATAACGGTACCCTCCGATATTCGGTATTTTGATGATTTTACCCACACTTTTCAACGGAATAGTCTGAAAATTCACACAAGGAGTTCTTTGTGAGCACTTCAACCCCTAAAAGGTAATTGTCTATATAGGTTTATATATATCGGCACCTTCCGATATTAGATATTTTAAAGATTTTAACACAATTTTTAATGGATTTTATTTTTTGAAAATTTTCTAACTCGTTCCAAATGGTGGAGGGTATTCAAAGTTCGGCCCGGCCGAACTTACTGCTTTTTTACTTGTTTCGTTACATAACTTCTGGTATTTTTATACCCTACACCCTGTAGTGGTAAGGGTATTATGTCTTTGAGCATTTGTTTGTAACACGGAGAAGGAAGCGAGGTGGACCCATAGTTACTTTGGAGGATCTTCATAGAATCACTTTCTGAGTCGATCTATGTATGTCTGTCCATTCGTCCGCCCGTCTGTTCATGTATTTTTGTGAACAAAATGCAGGTCGCATTTATTATCCGATTGAGATGACATTTTTCAGACAATATTTGTTTGGCTCATGGACGAACCATATTGAAATTGGTGAAAATCGGTCCAAATTTAGATATAGCTCCCATATATATCTCCAACCGATTTCAGGTTAATTGTGCACCAAATGGCCAATATCAGTTCAAATGACCTGAATTTTGGAACATCCGACCGAATTCAGTCTAGAAGCAAGTACATCAAATTTGGTGAAAGTCGCTTCAGATATAGCTATAGCTCCCCTATATATGTTTCATCCGATTTGGTGTTTAAATCCCTAACATGCGTAATATGCACTCCACAAGAATGATATTTGGTACCCGATATCAGATACAGTCTAGAAGTACCTCTGCCAAATTTTATCAAGATCGGTGCAGATTTGAATATAGCTCCCATATATATCTTCAACTGATTTCGGGTTAATTGTGCACCAACTGACCAATATCAGTCCAAATGACCTGAATTTTGGTACATCTGACAGAATTCAGTTTGAAAAAAGGTGAAAATCGGTTCAGATATAGATTTATCTACCACATACAGGGTGAAATGAAAAACGGCAACCAACTTCAGAC